TGTATGGTACCCGGACCATAACATCACTCCTCAATCTGCTCCGATGTATGGTACCCGGACCATAACATCACTCCTCAATCTGCTCTGATGTATGGTACCCGAACCATAACATCACTCCTCAATCTGCTCTGATGTATGGTACCGAACCATAACATCACTCCTCAATCTGCCCTGATGTATGGTACCCGAACCATAACATCACTCCTCGATCTGCCCTGATGTATGGTACCCGAACCATAACATCACTCCTCGATCCGCTCCGATGTATGGTACTCAAACCATAACATCACTCCTCAATCTGCTCTGATGTATGGTACCCGAACCATAACATCACTCCTCGATCTGCCCTGATGTATGGTACCCGAACCATAACATCACTCCTCGATCCGCTCCGATGTATGGTACTCAAACCATAACATCACTCCTCAATCTGCTCTTAGAACCTTCAGAATACTCCCTGTATCAAGTATGGGTCCTCTGCTTTCAGTAGTACGGGCCCATACTACCTGCCACATCTACCCATACTTTCCACACGGACCATCCCAGAACTTCTAAATAGCTGCTCGACCTGCTCTTTCACCAATCCCATCGCGCGTGCTCGCTCCCCAGTGAAATTCTCTATTCTACAAGCGCACTCATCTGGATAGGGTTATTCCCTAGGCTCTTCCGTTGTCCTCCCACTTCTTTGCTATCAGCTGCTGAAGAGCTCCTAATGATGCCAGCCATCTACCTCCTGAATATCGTCATATTCACTTGGTAGCTGACTCCCATCATCGAGAGTTCCACAAAGTACAAAGCAAGCAGCATTCGAGCATCGAAGAATACATAGGACTCCCTCTCTGTGATAACTCAACCTTCTCGGCTCATCCTTGAAAGTACCACCGAACTCTGTAACTCTACCCCTCATGGGTTCTAACTGGATACTCTCACTCATCACATACTCAAAAGCATAACACATATAACAACGAGTCCTAGGCTAAAGCATCACAAATCAGGCCACTCTAGTCCTAACATATGAAATACCTAGCCTATCTCTAGCATGCAATAATATCTCATAAAGTGCATCATACATATCTCATAACACAAAAATAAGGGTATTTTGGGAAATCACCGTTCGGGCTCTGGCTGATTGTACACACTACTCCTTCTTGCTTTCTCTTTGAACTCTTATTCACTTTTAGAAAATTATTTCTTTAAAAACTTTTCTTACTTCCTCAGTTTGAGTCCAGATTTACCCGAAGGCGCATCCGAATCCCTCAAACCAAGGCTCTGATACCAACTTGTAACACCGTAAATTTCAAGACAAAATTTTCATTTAAAACAATCATTTTATTCTTAGAAACACTTGTTTAAAATCTCATTCATAGTCGATTTACAAAACATGACTCCATTTTCACTTGCATAGAAAACCAGGATCCTCCAAAAATGTGACTCTTTCTCTGGTGTGTACAATCAAGCCGGTGCCGTCCCGTGATACTGAAAGAAACCTGAAAAAAAACATCACACAAAACACTGTAAGCACGAAGCTTAGTGAGTTCCCCAAAATACCACACATAACACATATTAGCCACTCGAGGCTATAACTCTATGGGTCCGTGCACCCAAACTCTGTGAACCCTCAGGTTCTAACTCTGGGAACCTTCCGGTTCCAACTCTATAAACATGCACAGCATAAATCACATAGAAATAATGCAGTACAACACATCACATACAAATAGCATACAAACACTCTGATCACATAACTCTGGTTACCTACTCAAGGTAAAGTATAGTGAGAAGACTCACCTGGCAAGCAGAAAGCAGATATCCCCACACTTGAATCTCGAACTCGTCACCGCCTAACACGTAAGGCAAATACTCTCATGAATATAACTCTCGAGGCTAGAATAAATCCTCTCATAACACCCTCTTATGGGTAAAAGACTATTTTACCTCTCTCTTGGCCCAAAGGCCACATCGCTGACCAAACCCTAAAAGTCAACGGCCAACCCTTGGTCGAAACCAAAGTCCTCAGTCTAAGTCAACCTCTGACTAACCCTACTTGCCGAGTCAACCCTGTGACTCGTCGAGTTCCCATAATCAGAACTTCACTCAAGCTGCGACCTAACTTGCCGAGTCACCCCGAGACTCGCCGAGTCCAACAACTCTAAGTCCACTCGCACACGACTCACCGAGTCATCCCTCGACTCACCGATTCTCGACTCAACCAGAGAATATTTGGGACTCTTCGACAGGACTCGTCGAGTCCAAGAACAGACTCGCCGAGTCTACGGCTATCTTCAACTTACTCGCCGAGTTGTTCATACAACTCGCCGAGTTCCATGCCATCTTCATCCAACTCGTCGAGTCCACCCATGTGACTCGCCGAGTACCACCGATCTGAATACATTCCAAAGCATTCCAGGCCATGCAACTGCTCCAAAACATAGATCCAGTCTCTTACCACTCATCCATCACGTAAAGTGGTAAACTTTACGTGAATCCAAAGAGATCTAAGCCATTTGCACATTGGGCTAGGGTTTGGGACATGTAAGCTTCACTAAACACTCCAACATGGGGACTTTCATTCTCTCTGATTCTTCTCCCTTCCAGATCTTAGGTAGCAACCTCAGATCTAACCTCTAGATTTCCCATTTCATCCATAGACAATTTCTTACAAACCCCAAAATGAAGAAACAACATAACAACAGGTCAATAACGAGATATTACCTCTAAGTGATGCCCCAACTGCAATGCAATTCGAATCCAAGCAAAGCCCCTTGCTCCAAGCCTTCAATCTTCCCAAAATTCCTTCTACCATTACTTCTCCAAGCTCCAATCCACTCAACAATGGTGCTTCTCCGTGATTTAGGGTTTTCTGGGGCTCAAGGGGTGATAAAGAGGCTGGGAGGAAGACATAATGATCATTATATAAGGCTTAACCCCGAGAATTAGGGTTTTCTCCACTCAGCGCCTACTCGCCGAGTCCATTACACTGACTCGCCGAGTCGGCCACTTAACACGCGACCAAGTCGCGACTCTACTCGCCGAGTCCACACATGGACTCGCCGAGTCACTCTTTCCTAATTTACTCTTTTAGCCCTTCAACTCTAATCTTGATATTTCGGGATGTTACAGTCCTATGTGCTTATATTGAGTTATGTGATATTATGCATTTTATCTTTGTAATATATGCTATATTATTCTGTGCATTACTGAGATCGGACCGGAAGGTCTAACCCGAGTTGTGAGACCGGAGGGTCCTCACTAAGATACAAGACTGGAGGGTCCAACCGGAGTTGTGAGACCGGAGGGTCCTCTCTGAGACACATGACCGGAGGGACGACACCGAGTCGTGAGACTGGAGGGTCCTCACTGAGACGCATGACTGGAGGGTCCATGTCGAGCTATATCCATGGGAGACTTATTATTTGTGTATGTGGTATTTTGGGGAACTCACTAAGCTTTGTGCTTACCGTGTTGTGTGTTATGTGTTTCAGGTACTTCTCAGGATCGCGAAAAGGCACCGACTTGATTGTACACACATGTTTGTGACTATGTCGCAGATTCTGGGATATCATCAGTTGTTTTGTTAAATCATGCATTTGACATTTAATACATTGTGATTTTGAGAAAATGTGATACTGATTTTAAGTGATTTAAAAAGGATTTTTTTTTTTGAAAATATAGAGTGTTACAATGATGGCTAATATTTCAACCCTTCACACCACTGGCATTATTCTTGCTGACAACTCAAAATTTGTATTTGTCGGTTCAATTCCTAAAGCCATGCTTCGTGATGTGCCAGCTGCTAGCAAGATCCTTGAAGCCTAACGGACAATTCTTGCTTTAGGTTTTCTTCAATTAACTCATGAGATGCAATAAATCATTGCTAAAGCCGACAAACCAAAGAAAGGACGTCAGAAAGGAGGCAAGAAAACGGAAAAGAAACAAAGTACTAAAGAGGGTCCATCTGAACTTGCGAACCATCCCAAGAAACGAAAGGCACCAGCTGGATCATTTGCAGCTGCTCCCACTCAAACCAAGAAGCAAAAGATCAAGAAGGCTGCTCGCAAGCCCAAATCTCCCACTCCCAGTGAAAGTGAACATTCGCACTCTGATACTCAGTCAGATGTTCGCATTGAAAGGGTGAGCCTACATAAAACGAAGATACTGCAACAACTTCCCAACCAGAGGTTTCGGCTCCGATATCATCAAACCCTGAGGTAACTTTAACTTATAATGATTTCTTCCCATCTCTAGCTCATTCACCCGAAACCACCACCATACCAATAACTATTGCACTTTGTCCTCCACCAATTTCTTTTCAATCACAGGGCAGTATTCATCTCTCTACTCCCTTATTTTCTGATTCCACTACCCCACCAACAACATCAGTTGAACCTCCTGTTTCTGTCAACACATATGATACGGGGGAAGGAGCTTCTGGTTTTACAACTGCTCATATCTCACCATCCATTTCCCCACTTCGTCAAAATGACCCCGATATGATTTATGGTAATGACAAGGTAGGCTTTGCAGGATTCATCTACAGTCCATTCAACATCAGGACTGAAAGTGATGACGAAGCTCCTGTCACGAGGGGGCTAATCAAGGCCATACATGAAAAACTTGACAAGTTGCTTCATGCTTCAAAGCCATCGTCAACTGATGATTATTCTCAAGCTACAGTCAAGTCCCTCCTTAAGACACTTACCAAAGAGCACTCAACCAATCTTGAGAGGATGAACAAGGCAGTAGATGCCTCTGCTACTACCTACAGCAACACGACCAAAAAAGTTGATAAACTAATTTCTGAAGCCACTGACTTCATGGAAAAGTTCCAAACCTCCTTTGAGTCCAACATTGCGAAGGCTAACAAAGTCATTTCCAGCATGGGCTCATCCCTCAAGATCGAGAAGGCGAAACTTCAAGAGGTTTGCACTGGCCTTAAATCTGACCACGACGAGTTCTAGTCATCCATCTCCTCATAAATATCCAAGATTCAAGATGACCTCGCAATGCAGTGTAAGATAATGGATGCTCTTGCAGTCAAAACTGAAAAAGTGAAAGTTCTGACTATCAAACTTGACACTGTTGAGAAACAAGTCAATGATTTGTTATCCGAGAGAGTGGTTATGAAAAGCTGTATCTCAGATGTTACTGGCTTACTATTGAATATCATTTGGAGGGTGTTCCGGATTTTGTCATGCTTCACCATTTGGAGGGTGTTCCGGATTTTGCATTCCGAAACAAAGGGGAGAACAATCCAAGAAGGATGAACCCAAGACTCCAGCCAAGCACAATGTCAAAAGCGAATCTGAGCCTAATGGAAAAGAAAATCTTTTCTCTGAAGAACCCATCATTGATCATAGTGAAGACGAAGAGCCTGATGAGAACGAGCTCCAAAAAAGAAAAGCACGTGAAGCCGAAATGGATGAGCATCAGAGAATAGTTCGAGAGACTGAAGCAAAAGAGAAAGCAGAAAGAGAAGCTTAGGTCACACTTGAAAGCAGCAAGCTCTTATTTCCGGTGTGGACGCTGCAACAAATTCAGAACGAAGTTGTGGAGTTACCAAGTCAGTATTGGCTAGAACCAGTTGTTTCATTCGAGCTTCAGAATACACAAGATTCACAAATGGATCTTCCAATTACTCCAAAAGCTTTCAAGTTTCGCTCTTTTGTAAAAGTAGTGAATGTCCCATCCACTGATAACAGTGATGACCATCTGTTATTCTCATTCTATCTTAAGCATATGAAGCCACAATAAGAAACGTGGAGTGCTTACAAGATTACTGTAGTGAAGGTCATAGATCAAATCTTAGCCAACAGCTTCCCGAATGCGAAGTTCAAGGTTGTGAGAGGTTCTACTAGCCAAGTTCACGAATTCACTCTTGCAGACCTGCCTTGTCTCAACCCCTATGACTGGATCATGCTTTACAACTTACTGCTGAGAGACGGACATAAGTATGAGCCCGTTATCGCTCACCTCAAGCTGATGATAGTTTCGTATATTCAAGATGTGGGGAAAATGGATGTGAAAATAGCTATTGTACTAAGAAGGAAGCCCTCTATTCTCCCTAAAGAATCTCTAGAAGATTTTGAGAAGTTGAAGCTTGGGAAGATTTACAAAGAAGGGTGGTATGTGGTATTTCAGGCACGGGAAAGAAATGATGTAGACTTTCACAAGGCCTGTTTCTTTCTACCTGACAAACATTTGTACACCACCACCTTCCTAGAATATATTTTAGATATGATCAATAAATTCAAGGGCTACAGCCAGGGAGACAAAAAAAAGTGTTTTTCTGATATAACCCAATTGTACATCCATGTTTGCAAGGTTCTGCTAAGCATAATTCCAAAAGTTTTTGAAGTGTAGAAGCGAGCTCAAACCTGATAAACTCTCGTCTTAATTGACGCAAATGGGGAGATTGTTGAAGATATTGTTTTGCGTCATTGGGCTTTTTATTTTTGTCTATTTTATTATTGAGTTGGACTTGTCCACCCATCATTTATTTCTAGGGTTATAGTACTGAAGGTGCATGCATGCATCATGTTTGGTAACTTTGATTTATTCTTGTAACCCTAATGACGCATTTTAAAGTAGTAATTCTTAATCGAGTTCATCTGAAGCTGTGACTTATAATCATTAAGCTTATTTTGAATCATTGTTCTTGTTCTTGTTTTCAATGTGTTTTGAATCTAATCGATCTTTCAATGATTAATATCCTAACACAACCCATATAATATAGTGGTTAGCGGGTTGGAAACATCAACTCAACCCAACCCACATAACTCATTTAAGTATTTTGGTTAACAAGTAAGTTGGTCAATTTTGAATCAAAGAATCGAGGAGTCATTTTCGTGTAACTTTTTACTTGTTAAATTTATATGAATTATACACGTTTACTAACATTTTACATTGACTATAGTGAAATGACCAACCAAATATCAATCTAAAATAATAGTTAATAAGCAACACAATTGAAAAAAAGAGATTTCCAACGCCGTATATCAACTATATTCTATTAATTCATAAATAAAAATTTTAAATTAAATATATATATATATATATATATATATATATATATATATATATATATATAATCGGACGGGTTGACCCGCAAACCCAAACAGTTAACCGAACCTAACCTCTCCAACAAAAGAAACGCGTTGGCGGGTCAGAAACCTCAACTCAACTCGTTTATGTCATGTTGGGTTGGATCGACAATTCTCCACCTACTTATCAATGCAGATATTACTGTGAATTGTGCTTTCTAGTTCGCGATGATTGTTAAATTTATGCTATTTATTATATCTAATATATTCATGCAACCTATCGGATATGACCATCCCTTTTTTATATTATCAATAAACAGGTTGTTAGAAATATCTGATGATGGGTATGATGATAGTCCAGATATTGACTAGTATATCAATATAAGTTGTTTGAAACCTCACAAAAAAGACACATGTGAAGATTGTCTCCATTCACGTGTCATTGTTTTATGTCGTGGTGATGAGATTGTCAATATATTTGTTTTGTAGTATTTGTTAGATATATTGGGTTTGAGATTCTCTATTCCAATTGGATCATATATTTACAGAAATTAATACTTTTGTAGTGAATGTGAGATATATGAATTACATGAAGCTTGTAATGATGGTTATAGATGATTTTCAACGACAATGATATTCTCTCTTCCAAATGGATCATATATATTGAAATATGATCCACTACGTCATCCAGAAATTCATTAAATATTTTTGGTATTCTAAGTGCTTAGGATAAAATGCTAAAGTCCCCAACCATACTGATGATTCATAATTTTTAACATTCATATAGTATTCATTTGGAGGCAACGGTGTATGTGTTTTCATTTTCCGTGCACATGCTATTTTATCTCTATTGATGTTCGGAAAAATGCGCGTTTTGTGGTTTACTATTACTAGGTATATATAATTAAAATTACGTTGTTAAAAATAAGGACAGGTATATTGTTAAAGATAACTAATATGTTGTTTGTTTTTTTGAAGTAAAAATCCATAAAGTTGGCGGACCACCTCTGCAACGCTTTGCAATAGAAGAGATAGACCAAACGCAGTGGCGGATTTAGGGGGGTTCCGGGGTGACACCGGCAACCCCTAAATTTTCCGGCCGCAGTGGAAAAAATTTCGAAATTTTTAATTTTTTTTTTTCTACTATCGTGCAACCTCTAACCTTTCCGTGCAACCCCTACTATGAAATCCTGCGTCCGCCCCTGACCAAACGGCTGCAGACTGTAATAATAAGTATGTTTGTTTTTTTTAACATCTGCATGCTGCTGCAGATATTAAAAAATTAAAATAAACTGATTTTATAATCTGAAAATAGTTTTTTAATACCGAAAATTTAATAATGTATAAAATTTCAGCAAAATTTTATGATATTTCAGCAAAAATAATGATATTTAACAAAAAAATAATAATATTTTAGAATAAAATAATGATATTAATAAACAATTATTATCATTCAATATTAAAAAAAATCAACGAGGAAAAAGAAAAAAAGTGAAATAAGATTTCATAAATATAATCAATATTTTAACAATAAAAAAGAAAGAAGAAGAGGTAGGAAGAGGTCAATCAAGTGCTGCGCCAAGAAGAACAAACGCATACGTTTTTTAATCCGAAGACTTCTGAAAAACAAATAGCTACGAGATGAAAAATGATGTGTGTGTTACGCCGCGCAACAATAAGAAGTCTGAAAATGCTTTTTTTAAAAAAACAAAGAGCACCTAATTTGTTGTCATTGAGTATAAAATAATATATATCTCTTATTATAATAATAATAATAATAATAATAATAATAATAATAATAATAATTGTCATTATCTTAAGTAATACTACAATTTAAAGAAGTTTTCATTAGAAGGTTGCAAAACAAATACTAATATTAAATCAAATGTGAATTTCTTTTTATGAATAAAAAGATGTCTCTTGTGAAATCGAAGTAAAATGTCTCAAATTGTAAATACATTGTTTATTATACCTGATGATTATTACAATCTCAAGTAAAACATGTAATTAACTGAAGGAGTCAAATATGGTGCTAATTATATTTTAAGCACTACTTTTTTTTTAAGAGCCTTCATTATTTGATGCACGTGATAGCTTTTTTTTATGCCTTTTAATGCAATTATATAAAAGTTTTTGATATATAGTAATTAAATGATTAGTTAAGAATTATAAGTTTCAAATGAGTCTTTAATATAAGGGTAAATATCACTCTAACCCTATAAACTAACATGATTTGGTTTAAAAGATCTTTCATTTAAATTTTTTCCATTATTAGGGCATGAACTTGACTATTACCGGTCAATTTGGGAACTTTAACCTTTTTTTATCCGGTTTATGTTCCACATATGATCTAATTATGTCATATACTCTCCTATTTAACCTACGTATTCATTGACTTTTAACAGCTACTGTAGCTATCTGATTATGTATGTGAAGGTTGTGTTTCAAACTAAATAAAAGTCACAGTGACACCATTAGTAGTGGGTTGTACTCTCAGCATCACGAACAGTACCACCAAAAGCAAAATACGACATACGACCAACACATTTCATTATTGAAGAACTTCTAATAAATTGTTCATCATTCCTTAGAAGGAATCTAATAAAAGGAACAAAAATATTAGAACTCTCCATCAAGTTAATCCATTTTGAAATTCTCAGTCAATTTATTAATCCCTATTCCTTCAATGACCATGTCAAATGGGTTCTTTAACCTCTTCTGGTCTTCCCTTTACCCTATTTTCTTGTGTATATCACTAATCTTGTCACTTTGTTAAACAAGCTAGAACCAAGAGGATCCAGAAGATAACACTTTATTCCTGCGTCATTTTCCTTTAAAAGTCAAGAAACACCGGCTATAGTGCCAC